CCCCCACATCTGTCTATCAATCATTCACTGGGATTCCAGGTACGGGGCGCGGGTCTCCTGCGTGTTGTCTCTGCGCCTGACTCTCTCTTTCTCTCTCGCAGGTCTCTGAGAGGATCCTGAGGATCGGGCGGCGTTGTCGTATGGGTATTCACAGCACAGGGGTAAGAGACCCCCAACGTTTTCTCCTCTTTGTCTTTCTTTCCACCACTCCTTCCCTTTGCTGCTTCCTGCTGGTCACCAGTCACCATGTACAGAGCAAAGCTGAACCCCATACATGTATATTGATACACATGTGTCATGTATATGGGAATTGCTGTACATGCCATAGGGTCTGAAACCCTGTGCAGTCAGTCTTGTGATCCCAAGCACGGTCCAGGAAAGACCCGCTGACCCTTGGGGGTCCTATGTAGATATCGAGTCCATGACCTCCATTGAGGTTCCTATAAAATCCAGTGCTGTTGTCATGTCTGCATTTGAACATCCTGGGTATCTCAGCCCTTTTTTTTAGGACGTGACAGGTTCACTTTAAAGCAAGCCTTTCACTCTCACAGGCTGGAAGAACCAAGTTATGGCCCTTAAAGCTGGTATGAAAAGATGCCTCGGCACGCCCATAGTCTACGATGTGACCCGTGTGCTTCTCTGTGTGACCGGGGTGGCCAAACTCCGGCGCTCCAGCTGCGGTGGAACTACAAATCCCATGAGGCAGTGCATTGTTCTCACAGCCACAGACACGTCTCCCAGAGAGGGATGCATCATGGGGTTTGTAGTTCCACCACAGCTGGAGGGCGGGAGTTTGGCCACCCCTGCTGTATGTGACTCTTAAAGCGGCAGGCTGGAAATGTTGTATGTGGCGCACATCTGTGCCCGCGGGAACGTCCTTGCCCGCGTGTGCAGGTCTCCTGCATGGTGGTGCCCGGCTCCTTTAAACATCTGGCATTGTGCAATGTTCCCGCGCGGCTCCGTGTTTTCCCCCGAGCTCGTTATCTGCGTCTCGCTGAGCCAGAACAAGCACGGGCCTCTCCTGCCAAGGCACAAACCTGTCGGATTGGTTTTCCCCCCTGGCCACGGCATCCGTGTGTAACCTTGAGCTTCCCTCCCAGAAGAAGCATATGGAAGAGGGCGGGCGCCCCGGCTGGACGCGCTTTTCCAGGTCGATTTTTATTTTCATGCAGCTTGTTTGTTATCATTGAGTTTGTGGTGCGGGCCCGCCGAGCATGGGAGCGAGGTGCGGGGGCACACGGGGCACTGCCAGGGGTCAGGTTTTCAGTTCAGATTTGCTCCTTTTTGTTATTTCCAGCGTAGATCCTAATGCAGGTCAATGGAACATCATCAGTCCTTAGACCGCCAGAGCCGGGGGGAGCAGGGGCTGCGGGACCAGTCCAGCAGCCAGGCATGGCTAACATCAACATAGTCCACGTTCTTCATAGGGGTTGTGTGTACGAGTCCCGGGGGCTATAAACAAGGAAAACTGGGCTCCTGACTGTGTCACATTCGGATTCATTCGCAGGGACGTTCGGCACAAGCGAATGTTTTCATTGTTACACTTTTTAGGGTTATTTAATTGTTCTAGGGCCATGGAGCGTGTCGCTGCCTGTTGTTGTTCCTGCGTCACCTGGAATTATAAAGAACAAACTGTTTTTATGGCACTTCCAGGTTGTAACATGTACATCTTTATTGTTGGAATGTTGTACTGCATTTGTAAATGGTCCCCATCCGAGCCTGAGGACGGGGCCCATCGCCGACTGCGGCTCAGAGATGGAAAATTCAATCTGCATAGCAACCCATAAATGGGGGCGATGGACAAAGGGCAGGGCCGAAAACCCGGATCCCGGAGGGGAGCTTTACATTTAATGTTTTATGATGATTTAATATAAACATAAAAAAGTGGGCGACCCCCGGCACTGCGAGGGTTAAGTGCTTGTTTGGTCTAGGGGGCTCAAGCAAAGCAAATACTCGCCTGATCTTCGGGCCCTCTGCTAGTCCGGTCCCCGCAGCTCCTGCTCCACCCCCTGGGCTCTGACAGTCTAAGGTCTGATGATGTCATATGCAGGTTCCATTTACCTGCATTAGATGTGAGAAGTAGAAGCAATGAAGATCTCCGGCACTCGCAGGATGAGAGGCGCAGAGAAGTTATTTTTCTTGTGGAACAATGTCGCATGTGTAATCTAGCCAACGTTTCGCAACCACACAGGGTCCCTTCATCAGGGCAAACATAGTGATTATATTACACATGTGACATTGTCCTACAATAAAAAGAACGTCTCTGCGTCTCTCATCCTGCGAGTGCCGGCGATCTTCATTGCTTCTACTTCTGGATATGCACGGCGCCATTTCTAGCATTGGTCCTAAATGCTGTGTGGTGTGCAGGGGACATCTTTGCTCAGGGCAGCCATCAGAAATTTTGGGGCCTCTTACACGGCTTTAGGCCGGGCCCCCCCGGCCGCTGGACGCATGTCTTAGTGACGCGCTGGACGCAGGTCTTAGTGACGCGCTGGAAGCAGGGCTTAGTGACGCGCTGGAAGCAGGGCTTAGTGACGCGCTGGACACAGGAGCCACCTGAGAGTGACCCTGCAGAACCCACCATAGATGCTGCACAGCCCATCTGAGACTGTCTTTGAAGGGGTCTCAGGTGGGCTAGTCAGGGCTGCATCCCTCCCTCCTTTCCTTCCTTGCTTCCTAGCTCCTCTTACCTGCACATATGGCCTCGTCTGCCGTCGGACCGGCCAGAAGTGACGTCACGTCCGGCCAGTCCGACATCAGATGAACAGCGTCACTGATGTCTTGAAGCCGCTGGAGCGGCAATGCTGGGGCCAGGCCTCTGCCTCCAGCGTCGGCCAATAGTCATGTAAGGGACTCGGGGGGGCTGCCCGGGCCCCTTACATGAGTATCGGCCGTACCCCCCTGATGGCTGCCCTGTCTTTGCTTATTGCATTAGACGTGAGGACGCCGAGGGACATTCCATATCCGCGGCGGAGGGGAGCACGGGACCAGGGTTCAGGCGAGTAAAACGGCTTTATTTGGCTACCCGTGAAAAAACGGTGCCACTGCAAGGGTAAGTTTTTTTTTTATTATCCCGGAGTTCTTCTTTAAAGGGTTAGTTCTCCTTTACAATGAAATGTCATGCATCCCCAGTACAGTTCTGTTGTTGTGTTTCCCATGTCGTACCTGTGGGCCGTGCGCAGCCCCTCCGAGGAACACCTAGGTGGCAGGACATTCTGGGCGTTTGGTTGCACCCTCAGCAGAACCGCAGCTCTGGTTTGTTGAACACCCGGCGCTCTTCTGTCACTGCACATGTGCGGGTTTTGAACGAGCCGGAGCGCTCCTTCCTGTAGTGCCGGGGGTGCACGTCTATCGTCTGGGGTGTCCTGCAATCCAAGGTTCACACCATTTTCCGCACCAAATCTGATCTGGAAAATAGTGTGAACCTGCTGCAGTGCATTCCAGACCAGACAGAATGAGACGCTCAATCTAGGCAGTATGGGGTGGGTCGCTCTAGGAGTTTTTCTGACAGGCTTGGGAGAGGTTGCATACAGCCTACAGGTATGACATTGAAAAGAAGATTCTTTCCCAAAATCTGAGCCATATGTACTGTACTGGGGACGCTGGAACGAGGAAGGAATGTTATTGTAAAGGTGAACGGACCCTTTAAGACAGTGACATCAGAATCAACATTTCCGGTGAGCACGATGTAGAAATGTCTCTCCCCCTCATAGACAGGCTGGTGCTGTGACACTGAGCTGCTTGGGATCATTTGGAGCCAATCAGTGCTCTGTATACAATGCCGGCGAATGGCTGTACTGATCCGGCCAGTACACGGGCACGGTGCTTAGATCTCTAATGATTGCCAGAGCCAGACTGCAGTTGTACTGCTGAGGGATGTTTGTAGACTATCGCTGACCTCTGAGATGCCGGTGAGGTCCTGCCACATACATCGGTGTGACTTGATGCCAGTTTAGTCTTGGAGGTTTTTTTGTTTTTGTGTATTTGACCGATAATGTAAGATAAGATTATAGTCAAGCCGTTATTGTACCTCCTCGGCGGCCATTTTCTTGTAGCCCTTTCTGCATTCCTCTCTCCGCCCCCCTCCATGTGTCTGTCGTCTTTCATCGCTGTGCCAAAATTAAACTGTGTCCCTTCTCTCCCAGCAGATGGATAGAGCTCCTCGCGGCTTCCTTCCTGTGACCTGAACTGGCGTAGAGGTAATCTGGGTGCTGGAGGGCGAAATGACTCTACTGATTCTCAATTATAGCGGGATTGACACCCGACTGCTGCCGCAACATTTCATGCCAGAGCAATATTTGTAATATTCTGCACCAGAGGGCTCCCCCCTCTGGTG